GTGTATTTTGTGGGCCCTCCCTCTGTTTTGCTGACTCATATTCTGCTTCTAGAATCTCTTTCTCTTTTGGCTTCATTACAATACCATCCCCATTAAAAGCAACCTTGTCCTCAAGGTTGAAAGAGGGAAACTTCTGTTGCAAGTCAGTTATTTCTTCCCAAGAAGCATCTGCAACATCATGCTGATCCCATTGAATTAAAACTTGGTGAATTGTTTGGTTGCCTTTGATAACAGTTCTAGCCTGCAACACTTCAATAGGAGTTATAATTGGTCCTTTGTCTGACATAGTCAAAGGTAACGGCAAGTATTGCTCTTGGAAAGTTCCCTTGAATGGTTTAAGCTGAGACACATGGAAAACAGGGTGTATTTTAGCATGATATGGAAGTTTGAGTTTGTAAGCTACCGAACCCACACGAGCTATGATCTCAAAGGGTCCAAAATAGCGCATGCCTAACTTTTGATTCTTCCTCAAGGCCACTGACTGTTGCCGATAAGGTTGGAGCTTTACCAACACTAGCTCTCCCACCTGAAAGGTCACATCCATTCTATGCTTGTCCGCTTGTTTCTTCATGTACTGCTGAGCCTTTTCTAAATTTGCTTTCAACTGCTGTAAAATTCTGTCTCTCTCCATCAGTTGCTCTTGGAGTGCTGGAGGGTCAGTAGCTTGAGGTTCATACCTTAATAAAGCCGGCGGATCTCTCCCGTAAAGAGCCTTGAAGGGTGTCATGCCAATGCTGGTCTGTAAGGCTGTGTTGTACCAGAATTCAGCCCATGATAATGCCTTGTACCATGACTTGGGGTTGTGAAAGGTGAAACACCTAAGAAATAGCTCTACTGCCTTATTAAGCGCCTCAGACTGCCCATCAGATTGGGGATGATACGCCGACGACATTGCCAAACTTGTACCTTGTAGCTTGAACAAATGTTGCCAAAAGGAACTTGTAAACACTTTATCCCTATCAGACACAATGGATTTGGGCATTCCATGTAATTTGACAATATTGTGCATAAAAATTTCAGCCACTGACTTACTAGAGTAATCAGTTTTCATAGGAAAGAAATGAGCATACTTTGATAATCTATCTATGACCACTAAAATAGTAGTGAACCCAAAGGATAAAGGAAGTCCTGTGATAAAATCCATAGCCACATCTTCCCATACTTGTGATGGTATTGGAAGTGGTTGTAATAACCCCGCCGGTACTGTGTTAGCAGTTTTAGCTTGTTGGCACACACCACAACTTTGCACATAGTGATAGATATCCTTCTTCATATTCGGCCAGTAGAATTGGGACTTTATTCTAGCCATAGTTCTAGTAAAACCCGCATGACCACCCAGTGGGGATGTATGTAATTCATATAAGACTTGCTGTACCAATTCAGTGTGTTGAGGAATCACAATTTGTTGCTTCCAATATAACAGTCCATCTCTGAAAGTATATTGGAGATATGAATTACCTTGGCTAATACACTTTTGTATGATGTCACGCCAGTGGTTATCACTTTTCAACACTTCCTTTACTTGTTGAATGAATTGACACTCAGGCTCTGACCATGACAAAGTCATTAACCGCGATAAAGCATCAGCTGCCAGATTCTCTTTGCCCGGCTTGTATTCTATAACAAAATCGTAACCCAAAAACTTATGTAACCATTGCTGCTGCTCGGGTGTCTGGAGGGTTTGGTCCATTAAACTCCGCAAACTCTTTTGATCGGTTCGAATAATGAACCTATGACCCATTAAATAATGTCTGAATTTGGCTATAGCTTCAGATATGGCAAGCATCTCTCGAAAATAAGCCGATTTCTTTTGATTGCGAGGAACTAGTTTCTTGGAGAAATAAGCAATGGGGTGACCATCTTGGTGCAGCACTGCACCAACTCCGACCCCTGAGGCATCTGTTTCCAAAATGAAAGGTTTATTGAAATTCGGCAAAGCCAAAACTGGACCAGAAATCATTGCAAGTTTTAACTGGTGAAATGCCATCTCAGCTTGGTCATTCCACACAAAACTCTCCTTCTTAAGTAATTCAGTCAATGGTGCAGCCACTCTTGCATATGATTTTATAAATCTCCTATAGTAACCCGTGAGACCTAGAAAACCCCTCAATTGCTTCACGTTCTTAGGTACAGGCCAATCCTGTACAGCTTGGATTTTATCTTTGTCCATGGCAACTCCTTGACCTGTAACTCTATGTCCCAAGTACTCAATTTCTGAAACTCCAAATGAACACTTAGATAACTTGACAAACAAAACATTGTCTTGAAGTATTTTTAGAACTGCATCTAAATGGTCCAGATGTGCTTGCCAAGTAGGGCTGTATATGAGAATATCATCAAAGAAAACCAAAACATATTTTCGCAAAGCATGTTGAAAAATATGATTCATTAAGCTTTGAAACGTAGCTGGAGCGTTGGTCAGTCCGAATGGCATGACCAGCCATTCATAATGTCCTTGGTGTGTTCGAAAAGTTGTTTTATACCTGTCTTCGGGTTGGACCAATATTTGATGATAGCCAGACCTGAGATCCAATTTTGAAAAATATTTAGCTCCGAATAACTCATCCAATAGCTCGTCTACTGTAGGAATGGGAAAGGAATCCTTGACAGTGATAGTATTTAATGCCCTGTAATCCGTGCATAACCTCCATGTACCATCTTTCTTTTTCACCAATATGATTGGTGAAGAAAATGGGCTCGTACTTGGTTGTATGATACCTTGATGCAGCATTTCATGGATCATTTGTTCAATTTGTGTCTTTTGGCTATGAGGGTATCGATATGGTTTAACTTTGACAGGATTAGAACCCTCCATTAATGGAATATGATGGTTATGTGACCTATCCGGTGGCAACGCAACGGGTGTGTTAAACACCGCTTTGTATGTATGCAGTAACATATAAATCTCGGGTTTGGTATCAGTAGGTAGCTCCTTGAACATGTCCTCAACAACATTTGATTTGAGCCATTGAATGGTGAAACATTCTGCTATAGCGCCAGTGTTCTGCAGCCTCTTCAAATGGTTGAGTTGAGCAATTGCAGGTCTGGGAACTTTCTCTCCTTCCAGTGTGACAAACTTCCCATTTAGAAAGAATTTCAGTGTGAGTGAAGCATAATCAGCCACATGCGGTCCTAGAGTTGCTAGCCACGATGCACCCAAAATCATATCTGCCCCAGCCACTGGTAACAAAAACACAGGAACCTTCAGTTCATGACCCTGTATCTTAACTGACAAGTCTGAAATGACCCCTTCTGCATTCATAATTTCCCCATTGCCAACCAGAACTCTGAACGCTGGACCGGGTTCTATGGGCAGTTTCAGAAATTTAGCTATTCTTGGCTGCAAAAAATTGTCGGAACTACCACCATCAATCAATACTTGCACTTTAATGTTCTCAATTAACCCAGAAAATCTTAGCACACCCATATTAGAATCTCCTTTCATTGCATTTAATGACAAATGATGCTCCGGCTCGACGGTGGGAATGCTGTCTGTGCTGAAATCAGATGGATTCAGGATATCCCCACTGAGTTGATCATCCTCAGTGTCATCATAATGTAATAGCATAAGTTGTCTGTTAGGGCATTTATGAGTAAATGAAAATTTGTCATCACACCAATAACAAAGTCCTTTGTCCCGTCTGAGTTGCATCTCTGCAGGGGAAATGCGTTTGATATTGGGATTCTTTTGGAACTGACTCATAGGTCTGGTGGGGGGTGTGTTGAGGATGGGGGCCGTGTTTCTCTGGTTAATTTCTAGTTTGGATGAATTGAAGGGTGGTTTGATATATGTGGATGGGTTGGCTCTTTGTGGTTTATGTGTTTGAGTGTATTTTTCCTCATAGACTTTGGCTAAAGATACCGCTTTCACAATGGAGGTGGGTGTGTGAATTAACACGTCACGACGGATCTCGGAATTGAGACCACTTATAAAACAGTCAATTAAAGCATCATTACTTAGGCCGTAAACTCTATTAGCTAATGATGTAAATTGTAGATAATACTCAGAAACAGTTCCAGTTTGAGTCAATTTAAACAGGGTAGCACGGGGACATTCATAGATGGATGGACCAAAATCCAATTCTAAAGCACGAGTAAAATCTAACCAAGAATGAAACGGATTAGAACGTTGTAACATTTGAAACCAAGGAACCACATCCTTATCCAGATGCACAGATGCAATAGTTAATCTATCAGGATCAGGGGTATCGTAATAACCAAAAAATTGCTCAGCTCGAAAGATCCACTCATGCACGTTAGTGCCATCGAAACGAGGAAATTCGAGTTTGACATTTCTCACCTGAAACGGAGGCCTGTTGTTGAGTTCTGCACCATGGCGATGCTTCGACGGTGTCTGCTGAATGAGGATGTCAAGCGCTGCATGGATATCATTAAACTTTGATGTGTTACCAGCTTCTAATCGTTCCATACGCTCAAGGATTTCAGTCTGAAACAACCGCATCTCTTCATTAGTGCGCTTGATCTCAGCTTGCAGCTCTTTGTTTTGGGGTTCGGCCATGGTGTGATGAAAGCACCAATGAAACAGTACTAAATATTGTAGAAAAGATGGAAAGAAAAGTGAGGATAATATTATAGGACTTTAATCAAACAGTAGGCATACAATAAAAATCCAGATGTGAAAAAGAAAGTTTTGAGGGAGAAGAATAACAACTTTACTCATCACATAGCCTACAATTTCTCACTACTGCAGTATAAGTACTGACTCATTCCTTCACGTAGTCCCTCCACATGCTGTGCGGTTTGCGTGGCCTTGCTCCTGTGCGTATGTCCGATATTTCCGCGTTATTGTTAGCCACTTCCTTTCCGTGTGTATTTTGTGGGCCCTCCCTCTGTTTTGCTGACTCATATTCTGCTTCTAGAATCTCTTTCTCTTTTGGCTTCATTACATGCAAATACTGAAAAGGATAAGCAAGAGAAACATTAAAGTAAAAGCACATGTGATGAGTTTGTGTCTAAGTTCAAGTTCACTCCTTTCCAAACTATTTGTCCTTGGAATTAATAGGTACACAAGCTAGACTCAAGTTAAGATCAACATCACCATCAATAATATTATTGTGTACTTGTCCATTATTTCTGGATGCACCTGCATCAAAATGAACCTCATTAGGCCCTTCTTCATAAGCTTGTCTCTCCCATATTGCACCCGGCGATCGGCGTGGATGAAAAAACACTGCTCTTGGTGCTCCATGCTGTGCTATCATAGGATGATAAGATGAAGATGCTACAAAGCGTTGATGATGCGGAAGAATGGAAAGAAAGTGTGCTCTTTGGCGTTCTCTTTTGTGTGCGTTTTGATGGCCTCCTAAGGCTTGAGAATTGGTAAATTCACGACGACAAAAATAACATCTAAATCTCTTATTGTTAAAAGAAAGGGTGTTAGAAGGTGTTAGTGAGAAACCAAATAGCTTTAGTGTTGGTAAAGATAAGGAGGGAGGTTTATCTTCATTGTTGTCTATAGGGTTTTTAGATGAAGTACTACTCATGGTGATTTTGCTTTGTTGGTGCATACTCGAGTGTTGGCGATATATATATATATATATATATATATATATATATATATATATATATATATATATATATATATATATATATATATATATATATATATATATATATATATATATATATATATATATATATATATATATAAAAGAAGTTTTACACCATTCAATTTTGTGAAAGAAAAGAGAATTAAAGATTATAGATAATGAATATTCAAGTTTTTCATTATAAAATATATCAGTAAAAAACACTTCAACTACGTTTTTTTTTCTTTTATATTCTTGTATTATGGTTTTATGAGATGTATTTAAATATTTACTTTAAAGAATGTAGTGCATTAAAAATTATAAAAGTGATTGAGGGTAGTCTATGTGTTTTAATAATTTTTATATAATATTATTTTTTTGTTGTCATTTAACTATACTATTGATTTTTTCTCTAATTTGGAGTTTCACGCATATTCTTGTGTTGTGATTGTCTTTTATTTTTTTCTATGTTTGGTTTTCTCAACAATTGATATCATGGTTTTTGATTGGATCCAATGATAAGAGTTCTTAGTATGTCTATGACAACAATTATGTTTGATTTTTCACATCAAAAAATTAGGGTGGTGTTGTTGAGTTGCACTCACAAGTTCAACTAGGCAATTCGGGCTAGAAAAAATTGATGAAAAAAATTATTTTTTACCAATGAAAAATTCAAGTCAAAGATGTGTTGATACACAATATAATATTTCTTTTGAACTATGATATTTCTTTTCGACTATGGTTGTGGATGAACACAATATAAAAATATTGGACTAGTGTATTCAAGTGATTATACTCTTTATTGTTAAATTGCAATCCAATGTGTCGAAACTATGTGTCGAAAAGATTTGATTTGTTTTAGATTTAAATAGATTTAATTTAAGTCTAGAATAAATTAGATTTGATTTAGTAACAAAAAGATATTTTGGGCTTTGGGCTTAGGGTGTAAGCTCAGTTATAAATAGAGGAAGTAACCCCTATTTTTGTAAGCAAGTCAATCAAGTCATTCACAGTATTTTGCAGTTGCAAAGTGAATAAAAAAGTTTTCACAGTTTGTGAGCAGAGAGAAACTCTGCAGAAATTATTTGTCTTGTCTTCTTTTCTTTGTTTGTCTCATAGGTAAATTGTCATTGTGGTAGAAATTCATCATAGACTTTGGTGGATTTCCAACATCTGGTATCAAGAGCTTTGTTTCGATTCAAGGGAAGTATCAATCAAGAACGATTGAAGAATTCACGATGACAAGTTATGGGAATGCAAACAATCCAGCAACGCTACCAATTCTGAAAGTTGACAACTATGAGAATTGGTGCAAACAGATAAAAGTCTTATTCAGGTGTCAAGGTCTTTGGGACCTTGTAAAAGATGGAGTCGAAGAGCTTGGAGAAAACGCTTCAGAAGAAGAAAAGAAGAAATACATAGAATCTAAGAAGCTGAGTTATAAAGCATTATTTATAATTCATCAATGTGTCAACCCATACAATTTTGAAACGGTTAGTGATTCAGAATCTGCAAAAGAAGCTTGGGAAATCTTTGAGAAGTCTTTTGGAGGCGTTGAGAAAGTGAAAGAAGTGAGGTTACAAACTCATAAAAGAACCTATGAACTGCTTCATATGGAAGACACAGTGAAAGCATATATGATTTCTTCACTAGAGTTACAAAACTAGTAAATCAAATCAAGATATGTGGATAAGCGTTAACAACAAGAGTTGTTGTATCGAAGATCTTGAGATCTTTAGCTCCTAAGTTCGACCACATAGTGGTGGCGATAGAAGAGGGGAAAGACTTATCGAAATTGACAAAGGAAGAGCTTTAAGGAACGCTTTAATCTCATGAACAAAGAATGAATGAAAGAGCTGCAGGAAAATCAAAGAGTGATGTGGCCTTGCAGGCACATTCAGCAAAAGAGACCAAAGGCAAAGGAAAGTGTTTCGACAGAGGTAGAGGTGGCTACAACAAATCGAATGGTAGAGGAAACCAGATTGAAGGAAACGTGTCGAATTAAAGAAGACCATACCAAGGCAACCAAAGAGGTGGTGATGCAAATAGAGGAAGAGGTGGTGGTCGAAAACCTGATAAGAGTCACATTCAATGTTACAATTGTCAGAAGTATGGTCACTATTCGAGTGATTGTCCAGAAAAACGAAAGAATCAAGAAAGTGATGCAAAGCTTGCAAAACATGAAGAAGAAGAAGAGATGATGCTGATGGTCACAACAAGAGATGAAGATAGATTCAAGGACCAATGGTACTTGGATTTAGGATGTTCATCACATATGTCTGGAAGGAAAGACTGGTTCGTCAATATAAAACCCTCAATAAAAAATATGGTAAAATTTGCAAATGACATTACCCTAGAAGCTGAAGGTATTAGTGATGTTATGATCATGAGGAAAGATGGCAAGAGGTCAGTAATTTCCAATGTATTGTACATACCAGGCATGAAGAGAAATTTGCTCGGTATAGGGAAGTTGGTCGAAAAGAATTATAAAGTGTCAATCAAAGATAAGATGATGAGAGTCGTTGATGCAAATGGGAGATTAATCTTGAAGGCTCCTATGTCTCAGAATCGAACCTTCAAGATTGAACTAAATGTGATAGAGCACAAGTGCCTTTCGAATGCAGCTAGCAGTGATGAATGGATATGGCATTATAGACTAGGCCATCTCAACTTCAGAGACATCAGAGATTTGAAGAGAAGAAATGTGGTTTCAGGATTGCCAGAAATTGACATTCCAAACGAGGTATGTGAGGAATGTGTGCAGGTGAAGCAACACAAGAATAGCTTCAGCAAGGATGCAGGAAGCAGATCGAAGGCTAGTCTTGAAGTCATATACTTTGATGTATGTGGACCAATCCAGGTGGATTCGATGGGAGGTAACAAATACTTTGTTACATTCATAGATGATTTTAGTCGAAAGCTATGGACTTACCTGATCAAGAAGAAAAGTGAAGTGATCGAAGTATTTACCAATTTTAAGTCTATGGTCGAAAGACAAAGTGGTCGAAAGCTCAAAGTGTTGAGAACTGATGGTGGTGGAGAATATGTGTCGAAAGACTTCGACAAATTATGTGAAAAGGAAGGGATTGTGCATGAGGTGGTGCCACCCTATACTCCACAACAAAATGGAATTGTAGAAAGGAAAAATAGAACCATCATGAATATGGTGAGAAGTATGTTGAAAGGCAATAATTTACCTAAAGAGTTTTGGGGTGAAGTTGTTTCGACTGCAATATACATTTTGAACAGATGTCCTACAAAGAAGCTAGAAGGAATTACTCCATAAGAATGTTGGTTTGGTGTGAAGCCTAGCTTGAGTCATCTGAAGGTATTTGGATCTATTGCACATAGACATGTGCCAGATCAGTTGAAAAGAAAACTTGATGATAAGTCAAGTCAAATGATTCTAGTTGGATATCATTCGACAAGAGGCTACAAGTTGTTCGATCCAGTGAAAAAGCAGATTGTGATCAGCAGGGACGTGATCATAGATGAGTTTAAATAATGGGATTGGACTGAAAATATCAAGAAAGATTCAGTGGGAATCCTTATTGAAGAGCCAGAAACTCAAGTCGAAAGAGAAGTTCGACAAGAGGAACCAACAGATATACCAAGTACAAGCAGGCCTCAAAGAATAAGATGCATGCCTGCAAGATTGCAAGATTGTGTGATTACATCAGATGATGTGATAGATAATGAAGGTGAGCCGGTACATTATGCTTTCTATGCAGATGTCGAACCCGTTAATGCAGCTGAAGCATTAAAGGATTCGAAGTGGGTGAAAGCAATGAACAAAGAAGTAAAGTCTATCGAAGACAACAACACTTGGTCACTTATCGAATTGCCTCAAGGCAAGAAGGTAATTGATGTCAAGTGGGTATATAAAGTGAAAACGAATTCGAAAGGTGAAGTAACTCGACACAAAGCAAGACTTGTGGCGAAAGGATTTCTATGGAAAGAAGGAATAGACTTCGATGAAGTTTTTGCACCTGTTGCTAGGATCGAAACAATCAGGTTGGTTGTTGGTCTAGCAGAAATAAACAGTTGGCACATATGTCAGATGGACGTGAAGTGTGCATTCCTAAATGGACCCTTAGATGAAGAAGTCTATGTTAAACAACCAGTTGGGTTTGTGAAACATGGCAAAGAAAGAAAGGTGTACAAGCTACATAAAGCCCTGTATGGATTGAAACAAGATCCAAGGGCTTGGAATAAGAAAATTGATAGTTTTCTAAGGGAGAAGGAATTTGTGAAGTGCACAACTGAACATGGTGTATATGTAAGAAGAAGCAAGAGTAAATGTCTTATACTATGTCTCGATGTAGATGATTTGTTGATAATAGATAGCTGTAAAAGTGAGATCGAAGACTTCAAAGGTGATCTCAGCAAAGAATTTGAAATATCTGATTTGGGTGAGATTTCATATTTCCTTGGTATTGAATTCTACAAGAGTAGTAGAGGTTTGATGATGCATCAAAGAAGATATGCAGGAGAAATTCTCAAGAGGTTTGAGATGCAAGAATGCAACTCAACTTCGAAACCTGCAGAACCAAGACTGCAACTGTCAAAAGATGCAGATGAAGATGATGTTGATCCAACCCAATACAGAAGACTTATTGGATCATTGAGATACCTTTTTCATACAAGGCATGACTTAGCATATACTGTAGGTATGGTAAGTAGATTCATGCAGAAGCCAAAGGTATCACATCTAGTAGCAGTGAAAAGGATACTAAGGTATCTCAAAGGAACTTTCGATTATGGCATTTTGTTTCCTGCAGTTGATAAAGGAAAAGAATGCAAGTTAGTGGGATACACTGATTCGAGTTGGTGTAGTGATGCTGAAGATCGAAAGTCAACAGCAGGATATGTTTTTATGCTAGGTGGTGCACCAGTTGCTTGGAATTCAAGAAAGGAACCAGTAGTGGCATTATTATCATGCGAAGCAGAATACA